TCCCCTCCCTCTCCCCTCATGGTTCCTACTGCCTTGTGACTGGGATGGAAAACAAATAGTATGTGGACAGGTAGATGGAGAAGCACAGAAATGGTGCTGATGCTACTTTCACAGAACTCACCATCATGTCATCTAGTGCATTTCATCTTTACTTGATAAAGTCTGTTCTGATGGTAATGATTGCAGAACTTAATTTGATTTTTAATTGCAGCATCGTGGGACATCTACCTAAAGTTTGTGCTGGAAGTTACCAGAATGCAGTGACAGTCTCAGGGTGTGTGTTAGCAATGCCTTTCTTCCACAGATCTGCACTGTTCTCAGTGTTCCAAGGAGTGGCTGGCTATCAGGCAGCTCCAGCCTTCTGGTGCATTGCTAGAGGTGGCAAATCTTACTGAGAGCCCAGGGGTACTCAGTGATTCCATCTGACTTTCTATCATAGTCTGCAGCAAGGCTGATTACTGACACTGCGTAAAAAAGTCCCACTTCTGATTCTTCTCATTCTGAGCACAGAATCTGAAGGAAATAATGTGTCCTTTAGTCAAAGACTGTGGTCATGTGAAGCATATCTTTGAGGTGAGTTTTTTAAACTGACTTTGCACATCATTAATTTTACGTTCCATATAATAATAATCGTTGCTCTGGATTAATCCGTAAAGGCCAAATATTATTCCTGCTATGTAGACCCAGTGTTCTTTTTATAATTGGAAAGTTTCCTCAAGGAGGAGAAGACAGTTTTGCAACATTCTGGAAGTCACACTTTGTATTAGCTCTTCCAAAGAGGAGAAATGACAAAGTCACTTATCTTGTGAACTTTGGGTTGGCTTCTTTCTTTTTTTCTTTTTTTTTTTTTTTAAATTCAGTTGTTCCAGTAGAGTGCAGCTGTTTCAGTGGGTGGAAAGTGATGATGTGTCCACAGAACAAGAAATGGTGCTGAAGATCCTAGCCAGTAGTTTTAACTAAGGAAGTGGACACAAGCCAATAGAGGATTTATGTAACTTCATCTCCTTTTGTACTTGATACTAATCCCTTTCATTGTGACAAATATAGTTTTGGGTTTTTTAATTTTTTTTTTTAAATACTGATATAAATTTAACATTAGAGTGGTTAACTACCCTGTTTATTTGACTAACAGTTTATAGAAATCAGAAACAGATAGCAAGCTCTTTCCCTCAGCATGAAATGTTCCAATTCTGACAAAACCACTTGTTCCTCTGTTTAACAACTCAGCAGTTATCCAGTCCTGCTTTTCAGGAACACCCAAAACTTGTCCTCAACCTCATCAATGTTTGGAATATGCAAAGAATGCAAGACTGAGCCTGGAGCTGGTAAATTTTCCCTTGTAATATCCTTACTTTTATGTGTGAGGATTTACCCAGGTTCAGCCAAATTTTACTTGCTGTGATACTCGATCAGATCCCGGTTAACTCCAAGGATCTTACTCAGGATTTACAAGGAATAAATTGGTCCAATAACGCTACAACAATAATGGGCAAAAACCCCCTCCACAAGAAAGTCTGGATAGAATATTAAAACCCAATGTCATTGCATCTGTGGATTGGAAGGAATTAATCACATAGAGATCCCCCCCCCTCTGAGGCCTCAGATTCTTTGGCTAATTGTTTATTTTTTTGTTTTTAGGGTTTGTGTCCAAATTATGTGGGTAATTTGCTGGCCCATTCCTGAAAATGTAAGGCTTCCCATTACAGATAACCTGGGGTTTAGAAGCTGTAATTTTGCAAATGCTGCACTTTAATCTGTGTGCCTTTCCCCTGCCAATTCTTTCCTTCACGCCTGTGGTCTGACTTGACTCCAGAAGAAAAAGCAGGATTGTATTATGTATCTCTTTTTTTTCCCCCTACAGTTGGCCAGGATACTATTGCTTTTCTCCTGTGTTGCATGTGAGTGGAATAATAGCAACCACCACCTTAAAATATGTTTGTTAATCCTGCTGTATCAATCAGGAACCCTTTCTTATTGCTCCTAAGAACTTTATATAAAGAATTGAACCTCCATGGATATGGAAAAACCCCACAAAAATCGTCTTCCTAGCAGATGCATTTGAGATAGTTTTATATTTATCTGAAATGCCAGAATCTGGACAGTTCTGAGTTTTCTACTGTATCATAAAATAGCTTTAATCGTCTCAAATCAACTGACATTTGAGCCTTTCCAACTAATTTAGGAGAGCTGTACTGTATTCTGTCAACACCAGGAGTCTTTATTAAGAAAGCTTCAGTCTAATTTTTCTTCAAAGGAACACTTTTTGGAAGACATTATTTTATGGTCAGGTTTTTCCAGTAGACACTTATTGCACAAGTCTTCTGCTTTGATGGTTAGTGATGCAGGAAATCGTGATGCAGCCTTGAGGCCCAGCCATTTCCTGTTCTCCCAGGATTATGTTCTAAAAATCCAACCAGAACTTTTAAATTACTTCATTAGAGGCATCTGTATTCCTGGAGAAAATTCCTTATGTGCTGAGTGGCAGGAATTAGGTGGGCAAAGGAAATACAAAATATGTCTGTGTTTCCATGTTCATTTGTTGCAGCTGGAAAGGGGCCTGGATGTGCTCCAACCCAGTGACTATCTAGAATTCAAACAGATATTCCAGGTTCTGCTTCTGCAGTAGTCAGAAATTTGACTTGTAATGACCACTCACAGTTGTTACAACTCCTTCCTTAAGTGTGAGTTATTGGGTTTGGGTTTGTTGTTTGGGGGGTGAAAATCAGGGTTGATTCACCTGGAGATAAGAATTTACTGAACATGCAAATGCATCACAGATGAGTCTGCGGTGATGACTGCTGGAGGAATGATCTTTAGTGATATAAAAGTAGCTAAGTTCTCATTAACTGAAGGCAGCAACTCAAGAGAGCATGGCTTTGTTTCATTTGGGCTTCTCAAGAAACCTTCCTTGATGCAGTGTGTGTCAGGCAAGAGCTAAACTAGATCTGGAAAATTTTCCTTGGTCATTGTTGAATAGCTTGTGCCTGATGAGTTGTATTTATGCATACCTGACATTATCTAACCTTGACCTGAATTGAACATATTTTAAAAGTTTTTTAGAGGGAATGTGAGTTATACTGCAGCAGCATCTTGCATCTGATAAGAGAATATGGAGCTAGTGTAACTTCTACAGTAGGTTGCAAGATTTCTGTTTTTCCAGAAAAGCTCTCCTTTTTAAGAATTTTCTGATGACCTTCTAAGAGCCTTCTCTGTGGGAATTATCACACTTTTGTGTAATGTGCAGTAGTATTTTATTGCATATGAGGTGGTATAAAATCACCCATTCTTCTCTCAGAGCTTCCACTAAAACTGGTTTCTGAATGAGAATGAATTACTCTGAGATATGGATAAAAGGTCAATTGATACAGTCCTGAAATAGTTGAGGCAACCTTTCTGAGAGATAAGTAGACAGTTTTATTTCTTTATTTTACTGTTGCAGGAATGAGGCAGACTGAGTAAACACAGTCGATGGCCGAGACAGAATTGTAGATTAGGGATTTCTTGATGCTCAAGTTAAATGCATTAAATCGCATCCAGTGGAAGTAGAAACTGTGCAGTCAGCTTAAGCCTGCACTAGATCCCATGCTTCCCACAGCTTCATGTTAATTAAACTCCAGCAAATGTGCACATTGTGTTTGGTTACGCAGATTCTGCGGAGCGTTAAAAAACTCGAAGAATATTAATGGCTTAAAATTTAAAACTCATTAACTGTTGCCCTATTGACCAGCTGAATAGAGCTTCTCAGCACTCCTCTGGGCCACTGCCACTTGACTCTGCCATGGAAATATAGAAATGTTTGTTGGCTTGGCTAAAAATGTTTGGGACTCCTGGTAGTGTCATCGGGTAAGATAGAGAGCATGCCTGCTCACTAAAGCAGATCTGCTGCAACTACAGATATTGTCAATATTTTAAAATGTAAAGTATAATTTTTTTTGTCCAAATGCTTGTTTAAACTTATGCTGACTGCCTGAAGATTTTTTTTTTCTGATTATTATTTGGTAGAAGTGTGTGTGTGTTATTAGAACCAGATTTCTGTAAAAGCAACTTCAGAGTTGAATCATGTGGTAAATTGATAAATACAGCTTCTTTCTCAAAATGGTATCTCAGTGCCTGAATCTTGACCCAGTGCAGTGTGAACTGCAGCTTCATTGAATGAAGGGGGACCAGTGAGCAAGTTTGAAGAGGAATTTTGCAATATCACAGGATTGCCTGTTTCCAAATAAAGCTTAGCAGTTTCTGATGAAAATCCTTTGAGATCTGACGAACAGAAGGCTCAAAGTACAATCCATGAAGCACATATGTAGTGAGAAAGCTATTTTGTCCTGACACCTTTGAGTAAAATCCTTGGAACACCAGTTCCAAATCAGCCTCTCTGGTTTCTGACTCAAACTTTTTTGTTGAACATCAATCAATCAAAAAAGCAAAAGTGTCTGCAGTTTGGGCTAAATAATGGACTCTGAATTATAAATTATTATGATCCACATATCACCTCTTTTGACCTGGACAGTCTTTTGATACCTTAAGAATAGTATTGTTTAAACAAATGTTGGTTTAAAAAGCAAGCAAAAAAAAATGAACAGAAAGCCCTTCTTCTCTAGCATGTTCAATCTGTCCTAACCAGCTGATTGCCATAGTATTAAAAAAAACCAACAACTTGGAATTATAAATATTTTAGTCTTTTTACTTTATTAATATTTACAGGAAGCTCCAGTAATCAGGATCAACATAAAGGGTTATTTGCAGCCATGCTCAGAAAGGTCTGGATTCTCTTTACCTAGAACTGAATTATTGTTCTGCCTTTATTTTGCGAGCCTTTTGTTTTCAATTCAGCGAGCAATCTGCATGTTATAAATAAATTTACTGAAGTACTGCTGAGCTAAGCAGAGAATATTATAAATATTCCACTCGAAGAAAACATGAACTGACAAAACATACTCGAGAGGCACTGGCTATGTATCTCCTTATCTTTTCATAATCATCTTCTCTTGCAATTTCCCTAGATCATAGATGAGGAAGAGACACAGTTCATGAGCAATTGTCCTGTTGCTGTGACTGAGAGCACACCTCGGAGGAGGACACGCATTCAGGTGTTTTGGACGGCTCCTCCTACAGGGACAGGCTGTGTGATTCTGAAGTAAGTACTTTAAGGCATATTGAAACTAACAGTTAAAATGAAATTCAGTTAATAAGTCTAATATTTACTGGATTGAGACACGCTGGGTCAAGTTTAGTTGTACTTGCACAGTGAAACGTTAGCAATTTAAAGCCTAAATATTCAGAAGTTACTCCAAGCCTTCAGTAAGCATTGAATCAGAAACCCTAATTGAACTTGTTAGGCTCTCAGCCATTCTTTTCACGTAAGAATCAAAAAAAAAAAAAAAAAAAAAAAAAAAAAAAAAAAAAAAAAAAAAAAAAAAAAAAAAAAAAAAAAAATCTTAATTTTTACGATCAAAACTGCATCCGTCTGGCTGAGACTCAGGCGAAAAACATGATCTTAGCTGAGATGAAAAACAGGAACGTTCTGTAGAGTCAGGATTTTCTGAATGGACCTTAATCAGTAAAAACAGATCTGTTTGTTTAGAGGTGAATGTTTTTGTTTTAGAGCCAGTGATCATTTACTGATGTTTTAGTTCACACTAGCATGTGTATTCATGCCTTTTAAGCAGTGGACATACGTAACACCACGCAGGTGAACTTTGCTTTGGGTGCATTCATTTGTCTGCAGGACCATGAAGAGTGCCAGATAAACATTACCCTGCCTCTTAAGAGTTGGCTTGCTGGATTTAATAGGACAGATTGGTCAAATATGCATGGACAATCGGGATTTCTTTGCTTGCTTTGAATCCACGTGCGGGAGGAGCCTTTGAAATTGCCAAGATTTGCCCTGCAGCAGACCAAAGAATTTCAAAGGCTCTTATCAGGACTGGGATGCCTTTAAGTGACACAAAACTTTAGGCTTTTAAGGGAGGGCTGTCACAAAGGTTCTGCTGAAGACAGCCCAGGCCATTCAGAAAAATGTGTTATTAAATTATTGATTTCTGAACGGGTTGGGAAATTGCCACCAGCAAAAACGGCCCATGGCTGCTTTTCCTCTCTCCCTGTGCTTCACTTGTCTGCTGATGGGCACAAAAGAAAGACACCTTCCTCTTCCACATCTGTGAGGGTGATCTAGTCCCAGCTCTTACACTGGCTGTGGAACAGTCTCGAATCTTTTGCAGTTTTACTTGCTGCCTCTCACTTTCAGTGAAACGATTTTGTTTAAAAATCACCTGGTTTAATCTGCACGAAAGCAGTTCAGGAATACACTTCCAGCCTTTTCTTAAGCTCAGCACAGGCAAGTTTGCATCAGGCTCTGCAGTAAAACTGTGAAACCTGCTGCCTGCTGCACGGCGAGACAAGTTGGGTTAGAAGTTTATAGATGGAATTTTTCAAGACTTCCTTTGGCAATCAAGAAGATTCTTCGGTGTTGCTAAGCTGTTTATCAGTAAAGCTCCTTGGCCTTCCCCTCAGGACTGCCCCCCTCTTGGCTGCATAGCAAATATTGCTTGAGGTGCTTTACTACTTAAGTAAAGGAATAATAAGGTGATGATGTTTTATAGAGCCTTTTAAAAAGACAAGATTTAAACTTTAATCCAGTAATGATACGCAACAACCCAAGTTGATGGATTCCATCCCCCCCCTTTGTTGTCCTAAATAAAATTTCCATTAACAAAATAAATTAACACAGACCTATACTTTTCTCACTGAACTGAAATATCTGTGGCTGAAGTTGATTGAGGGGCTTGCCTGCCTGGGTCTTGCCAGCAAAGGAATGCAGTAAAGTACCAGCAACTGCAGGATCTGGATGAGTGTTTCTTCTCTCTCTTCTCTGCTAGTCAGGTCCTGGTGGATGTTCAACACTCTAATCTATCCCTGTGCAGTATCTGCAGTATTGTAGTTAAATTAGCTGACTGGCACTGATTCTCATAATCTGTTTGGGAATTTAGGTTCATGGGGCAAGTAAAATTTTGGTGTTATGACCGCCTATTTACAGATTGCTGTGGGCATCTTTGGTGTCTACGTGCTCCTGAAAAGTGGAAGGAAGTTAAGTACTTTCCAGTAAAAATTATGTGAAAAATATAAGCTTCCTCCCAACGATTGCTTTATTGACCTTGGAGGATAAGTAATCACTTTATTCCCGAGGACAGTTCAAAAAAAGAATGAAACAGTGGCCATTAGTAAGAGCTGCTGATGCCAGAAATTAACATCCTAACGTGGTTATTTGTTTGTGCTGCAGTGCAGTCCTCTGTGGCACCTACACAGCAGTCTCTGATGGGGTTTTGGCATTAACAACATTTACATTTTCTCTTCTGTATGTAAAGCTTTGATGGCATCTGAATTAGAGTTTGCATTCAGCATTCTTCATAAACCCTCCTTGTGGTCAGCTCCCATAAAATAGCATGGAAATGTTGGATGTGAGTTTCATAATTATTCTGTATGATAAAAACAGAAGTCTAAAAGCAGTTTGTGTTTTAAATAGTTAAGTCCAAACTCACCATGGAAAAATTCTGAAACCCTGAACTTTAGAGGAAACAAACCCTCTGTATTTTTCTTTCGTCTCTATGTGATGGACGTGCAAATATTTTTTTATTATTATCAACACATATCTGTTTCAATCTTTGGATCCTATGATACTTTTGTTTTAGAATTTCCAAAACAAGATGGCAACATTTTGTAGCCCATTCTGAATCATAAGAATATACTTTTTCACTATGTCCTTGTCTACTGGCTTCAATATGTAGACAAGTTAAATGTAGTCACAAGTTAAACATAGATCATCCATAAAAACTTATTACAGTTTTAGTGCCAAATAATGGGGTTTTTCTAGATTTATAGTGGTATAATTAAGTACAGACTCTTCCAGGAAGCTTTTCCTGGACTAGTACTGAGGCCTGGGAACAGCTATTTTTCTGCAATTTGTGAAGTCTGATACCTTTGATGGCAACACTTGATTGCTCAAATTTGGCTTAGTAGTCTTCCCAGTGCTTTCCAGGCATACAGTGCACGTGATCAGTTTGGCTGTGAAAAGCATAAAATGACACAGAGAAATGGTAATCTGTAGTTCTAGGGTTCAGTAAGAGTTGCTAAATCGTTTGGCATGAGCACATGTGTGTGCAATCCTAACTTTCTGGGTGACTGCGAGAAACAAAATTTAGGAGAATAAGCGTATTTGGATTTGGCTTACTATCACTACCTTGCTTTCTAAAACACCTCTTTCTGTGTGAAGACCTAGAATTGGGAGTCAAAAAAAAAAAAAAAAAAAAAAAAAGAGAAGGAAATGGATTAATTTACGATGTAATTGCTTAGTTGAGAATAATTCATTCATTCTCTTCGTTCCCAATAAGTGAGGACAGTGAAATACCCTAAAGGTGCAAATCCTTCCGTCTCTCTGCTGAAGCTGCCAGTACAGAATGTGCTCCCAGGATGCAAACATTTACCCACACACTTCAGCCTATGCTTGAGTTGCACTGAAGGCACAAGATAAAAGGCTTTGCTTACGTGTTTCACGCGGCTTGGGAGACCCTCAAGCCTGAAGCCCTCTCTCCACTCGCCTGAGGTGTGCTCAGAACACTGTGCAGCTAAATCCAATTACAGGAAGGCACACAGACACTCCAGCATGGAGCGGGTTCTTAAAGTGATTTCTGCAGATGGATGGACTTGGAGAAACATCCTATCGCTTCGGGGAGGGCCCCACACACGCCGCAAGACAATTTTAAGCAGCTAGATTTCGAGAACGACCCGATGGAAATGGAATTCATTGTCGTCTGTCAGACAGTGTATTCGGCCCCATCACAGCACTAGGCACTTGAATCGAAAGTTTTGCTGTGTGGGATGAAGTTATTAAAGATAAATCAACAGGATGCACTCGGATCATGCTTGGCAATAAGGATTCACTTGGCTGCCTCAGCATCTGTGCTGGCTGCAGAAGCTACCCAAGTATCAGCGTGAGCAGGAAAGTGCTTACAACTCTATCTTTCTTGCTTCTCTGCCTAAGGTTATCTGTTTTGACCCTTCCAAGCTGTCATGCTGTGCTCAGTCTGCTTGTTTTCATGTTCACAGTGGAACATCCTTCTCTCCCTATTTTCTTCTCCTTGTTTCTTGTGATTGCCACATGTGTTCAGTATGGGAGGACCAGGTCATTTCCTTCATCCTCAGATAAAAGTTTCTTGTTCTAAAGCTTCCTCACTAGATTTCTGAGCTCTTCAGAATGCATTTGCTTTCTAGAAGCTTTGAAAACCTACTGCTATAACTTCCTTGGGAGATGTTTGTGTTTATTTTTGTGATGTGAAATTTATATAAGAAGAATTACATAGGCAGTAGAGCAATGGCAGAGCCTGGTGGTATTTGTATCATGACATGGAAGTAGAGAGATTTTCTGGGGTTTGAAACTTGTCTTGGTCATTCTGTTTTAATATTTTGTTTAAACGAGTGAAAACTTTTAACTTTTAACACTCCCCCTCTTTTTTACTTCATGTAGGCTGCTAAGCTTGGGTTAGCATATTCTATTTTTCCTGAATTGTAGAGCAGTACACATGCATTATTTTTATCTGACAGCTAATATTCAGAGACTGCTTAATTCTGTAAAAAGAAAAACAACTACTGGAGATTTATCTTGTTTAACAACAAAAGTCTTAAATATTGATTTCAAGTAGGATTTACACCATTGATTTAAAAAAAAAAAAAAAAAAGACAATAGTTTATTGAAAGTTTCTTAGCAGTGGTGAAGAATCACCTCTTTTAGACCACTTTGAGCCCCAAGTTTCTAGATTGGAGTGGTAAGTTGTATTCCTCAAGATAGTTAAGTGTGGTACTGAACAGGTAGATAAAGGTCTGACCCCTTTAATTGAAGGGAAATACAGAACAAACAGTTTTCTGCAAGTCCTTTAGAATTCTACAATATAATGCAAGAGTGAAGAAAATTCTGTACATTGTCCTAGCTTGTTATATATTAAAATTTCAAGGTAGGGAGAATCTTGTTAATATCTAAATTGAGTAAATCTGTCAGCTGGTGTGGATCTCATGAAGAGTCAAGTACTGAGAGATGGTAATTATCTTTTCCTCCTTTAGCATTTGGTGATTTTCATTGAGTCTGAG